GATTCATTGTATGGCGGCAAACCATTCAGAGAAGTTCCTGAATCCTGTGCGGTCTCGAGAAAAATAATGTTGCGATCACCTTCAAGCACCATATCAATACGATTTGAGTGCGGCCGTTCACTCTCACGTTTCAGCAAGGTTGATGGACGAAGGCGATTCAAAGAAAGCGCATTATTCCTTTCATCCCGGATTGTATTTTCATGTACTTGCCATAAGCGAAAATTATTTTCGCCAAGATGCTAAAAACAAGCTTAAGAATTTTGATGCTGAATATATACATACTAAGAGTAATACCAACTATACATACACACTGAGAAACCTTGATTTAACTTACAAATTCTTCTGCAAACAATGCATACAACTGCTCAATAGTCATCTTCTTCTCAACCTTCAACCGGCGAGCTTCATCCAATACCTTCGGATCGAATAAGTCAAATCCCGAATAATTATACATATGTTCTTCTAATACCACCTAAATAAGCTTAATTAAAAAAAACAAAGTTCGATAAATAAAGACGATGGCAATATAACACGATCAAACCTACAATAAGCTCCGTGAACAGATGGGCTTCGAGCTTCTCTTTCTTCTTTTTAGCATCAGCTGATTTCTCCTCTTCAAATCGCAGTCGTAAATGTCGTGGAATATCCTCTTCAGTCACCGGACATAAGACGTCATCTACAAATAAAAAAGTAAATGTTTAAAAGCAGAATTAAGCGGTAAATAATGTTTACAAGAGAAAAATCAAGGAAAATCAAAACTCACTTATAGAATTTTTTTTAATATAAACAAGCATATAGGCATTGGTAAATGATTTGCCTGGGAGATCGGGATCATCGCCACCATAATTTGCCTCTATAGCATCACGAACAGAGGCACGAGAAACAACATCATCATCAAATTTGCACCACTGAAAAAATGGATATTCATGTCCCGTTGAAAACTAATCTGAAAACATAGTTAGGATACAGCTAAACTAAACAAGTACCAAGAAGGCAAAATAAAAACCAAACAATATAAAATGAGTTAATACGAGAAACTATGAAGATATATAAGCAAAACTACGCTAACAGCGAACAATAAAAAATACCCTGGGAGGTCCACCCAAATTTGTGTTGATAAAAACTACATAATGACCACCGTGGAAATCACCAGAATGTACTAGGACAGCATGAAGTAAAAAGTCCTGAGGTTCTTTTTTGTCGCCATCTTCTATGAACGCATTCAAATTTAAAAGTGAAGGAAACTCGAACCTGTAAAAAAACCAGTTCTAAAGTTTTAAGTTTTGATCGAACTAGAAATAAATTGAATTAACATGGATTACCGATCATTGATTTTTACGTTTGCATCTTGCAATGCGTCATACTGGAAACGCATCAGCTGCAAATGTAAAATAGGAGGAAATGAAATAAATTTGACGCCTTTAACAGCTGGTTGCAAACCGAATTCCCCAGCATCGTATTTATTGTCGCCATCAAGTATTTCCGCAGCAGTATAATCAGAGAAGGATTCTAGAACTGAAATTAAAACCATTTCAAGGAAAAAATGAATTTTTTTGCTTTTCGATTTCTTTAGTCTATTTAACATCTACACAATCTGAAACTCACAGCCCTAGTAAACATCATATAAAGAACATACCATTTGCTTTGCCTTTGATATTAAGCTGAAGATCATAGAATGATTCAACCCGATTTGATTCAAAACATACATTTTTACAACGCACATATGACTTCATTTTCCCTTCAAACAAAGAAGGGATGGTATTTTTTACCTAAAACATAAACTTTTATTGATGAATTGACAAATAATTTAAAACAAAATCTTGCACAGATCAAATAGCGTTTTAAAAATGATTATAATTTTATATGATCACATAATAAATAAAAATCATACACTACTGCTACTATTTTATTAGCTGAACATTGAACAAAAGAAAGTAAACTGTTGCTCACTAATAGAATCAAGTATTTCCGCAGCAATATAATCAGAGGATTCTAGAATTGAAATTAAAACCACTTAAAGAAAGAAATGAATTTTTTTGCTTTTCGATTTTTACACATATTGATAATACTGAAAAAATACCTTAGTTCCAGACATTTTATTTTCTAAATTATCTAGCAGTACACGGCACAACTCCTGTACATCATGCTGATGAAATGATTCGACACTATCCCACCCGAATGATTTCGTCAGCTTTTTCGTGCCAACAGGTTTATCCGAATTTTGCAGTTCATAAAAAACACGCTGCATAGCCAAAGCTACCGAGGTTTCTGGATCATCGTTTTCAGTTGGCATTTGGTAGACGGCCTAAAACAGCGAAGATAAAAAGTTCTATAACAGTTATCTTTTAAGCAGTAAAAGCATAGTTCTAAAATTTGTAACCAACCTTCCTCAACTGGTTAGTGAAAAAGAAAGTCTGCAATATCGAATTCATGTAGCACGTTGCACCCTGATTTTTTAGACCAATAAAGCCAGCGTGTTTCTTGCTATCCCATCTAAACAGAAAGTCTTTTTATAAATTTAAAAAATGGTAGAATTTTACGGCCTTATGAACAGAAAAAACTGAACATGTGTCCACATTATGTGCAGAATTTTGCATAATAATACCAAAAAGGTAAAAATGAAGAGCTAAAACAAACTGCACGCCGTGAGGAGCATCAGCCATAACCAACACTTCCAGCTTGATAGTATCGTCTTTAATGTAACCACTTTCAGGATTCAGAAGTGTCTGCAAATGAAATAACTATTTTCCGTTGTTTACTAATGATCAGATTCCTCATAATTCTGTAGATAAATTATTCACGATAAAATTAAAGCACAAATTCTGCAACGTCTGACTCATGTAATTAAGACAGCAGTGCTACAAAAGCATACAATTCGTGAAGAATAAGAAACATTTACTTCACACGGAAGGAACTGCGAATAACCCCAATCGTTCTCCTTTTGATAGAAAGTATGATTGATTCTTCGCACATGGTTCTCAACTCCAGGTTTTTGTGACAAAACAGTGAGAATAGCACTTGCTGTACATGACCAGGAAATTGCTTCTGCTTCACCATTACACTGCAGAAAGAAACCAAACGCACGTCCTGCTGATCGGCGTTCACTTTGAAACTGTAATTATTTGACATTTATTACCAAACATAAGAGATTTCCTGTTCGTTTTCTATTTTTCCGAAGGTTTATTAAAGAATGATAACAAAAGTATTCAATCTAACAGAAAAAGAAGAAAACCGAACTCTATTCTGTTCTCGCGGCATTGCTAAAATTCTCCAGGGCAGACCTCTAACAAATATCGGTTCACTCAATTTCTGATGTGTTTCAGATGAACCACGAGCAAAGTCACTGAAGTGATCAATGTCCATGCGCAAAATTCCTTCTGGTTTATATGGATCTATAATTAACAATGAAAGGGTCCAGAAAGGAAACATGAATCAGTTAGTTCCAAACACGGCGCTTTACTGCGTGCTTGCCATCAATATACCTTCAGCAAAGTTCAGTTGGAATTATCTGCAAAACACTAACAAAAGAAAGATTACCGCATTGCTACCTTATCCATAGATTGATATGAAAAGCGTATGAAAGCAAGGAATGACCGCGTTAACAATCCATAGATAAAATGAATGAAAAAAAAAATAAAATAAAATCAATTAAATGCTAGAAAAGGAGCTGTGAAATCGCCGGATTACTTCTCGACCATAATACTTAATTTTATATTGGATCATAAAATGCGCGCATGACAGTAACAAGTTGCTCCGAACTTCAGCAATATTTGAAATATTTAAATACGATGAGAGAACAAGCTTCATGTCATCAAGTTAAAATGAAATGCAAAACTAGAATTCCAAGAGACCAAAGAAATTCATACCATCTTCTTCACAATCTCCGGATAATGGAGAACCATTTCCTGAAAATAACAAGTTCAAATCAGCGATGTGTAGGCAACAAAGTACAGCTGATGACAAATAATACACAACTTTACAAGATACTGAGTAGCAGTAAAAAAAATCACTGAAAGAGGAGAGCTCTGCTCATGCCCATTTGAAATGAAATGGACTATCCACTTTTATGCTTTGCACAATAATCTTGCTTCCTCAGACCATCCAGCTTTATCACAATTATTTTCCACTTTACGTCAGCACGAGACCTCTAATCGAGCTTTTCTTACATGCAATAGACAGATCGTAACCATACTTACCTTCGTTAACATCGGTTGTATCCATTGCATCTTCCTGGTTGTTACGCTGTGTTGTTGCTTTAACAAAAGTTACTCTCCCACGAGCATTTTCTTTATTTTCATGCTGCAAACAAGTCGACAAGTGAATGCTTTTGGATTACCACCAAAATGATCAAAAAAAGTTGGAAGCTTTATGAACCAATAAACTCTATTCATATTTTAAATCATCATATATCTGCAATGATAATATATATGAAAAGAAGAATATGTGAAGAATTTGAAAAAAAAGCGATGTTTCCTCCATAAGAACAGCGAGTGACCTAATAAAAACTCACTTCCTCAACGAATGGAACCCCATTATCAACATCGTCATCTGTATCACTGTTTTTCATCTCCCGTCCACATTCACCACTCCCAAGATCGTTTGTCATCTAAAATGAATGAACAAATATTTTTCTTAAAATAAAGTAGCTCAGCTCGCCTAACTTTTCAACGCTTTGTGCTAGTTGCAAAAAAAACATAAACTGCAGAAATTCCCTGTCGGATTCCAATGATTACAAATTTTATTATGTCATATAGGGGTGAATTTATTGTTAACGTAAAAAAGAATTTGTTCTTTTATACTTTAACAACACTCCTAATTTCAGTGTGATTTGACCAGCTTGAAATACTTCGAGTACCACAATATTATAAACGGGATCCATAACGAGGTCACATGGAAATGCAAAAAAGACACACACACATACACACATATATATATATATATATAT